GAAAGTTGTTAATAAATTATTCTTGGGAGCTTCCGCTTTACGACTGAAGAAGGTGAAGCTGCATCACACCAAATCTTGGATACATATAGGCAAATAGAGAAGAGCAGAAAGCTTTGGCTTGGTTCTAGATATAGTAATGTGGTTTCTTAAGCTTCTATTTTCTTCATTGGGTCCGATATTCATTGAGATTCAAAAGTTCGCTTCTCAATGCCCCATAAAGGGACAACTTTAAATTCTTTCTACAGTAAGAAAAAAAAAAAAAAAGAATACCTCTTTTCCTATTTGAATCGTGATTGGTTTCTAAAATAGATGATGGAATATATATGCTCTGATGTAATCTAAATAATCCATACCTCCATATAAACGTTAAATAAATGTAATGAAAACAATAGAAATAAAAAGAAAAAGCATTTATTGAGCATTTGTTGTGGGACAGACATTGTGTTAGGCATTATATTTGCTTTATTTTGTTTAATTGTAACAACTATCTAATGTAATAGGTGTTCATATTTTATTAATTTTACTTGTGAAGAAACAGACATTTGAACATTACACAACTTGCCCAAGGTCTTAAGGCCTTTAAGAAACAGATGGGAGAACTCAATTCCCAGCTGGACTTCAGATGATGTATTTCACTACAATGTTATATTTGGTCTGTCTCACTCTTGAGTGGCAGATGAGATTTCTAGGGGAATAAACTTGCCAGTGAAGGAAGAAGAGAATGCTGTGGAAAGACACTGGGAGCTTGTGAAAAGATGAATTTTCTGGGATGTGCCTTTTAAAGAGGAAGAGTTTTCTTCCTGCAGTCAAGAAGGCATAGGAAGTGAGACTGTGAGCAGGAATTGTGTAAGGAGATACGTCCAAGCCTTTTGAATTACTGGGCTTGTTCATGTTCAGCACAAACTTTCATCATGTAAAGAGCTAGTATGCATACACAATTCAAATGTAGCAAGTAGATTGTGTGTCTGTTGGGCAGAATTCTCTCTCCACTGATGCTATTTGGATGAAATGGCTTTCAGCAGTATTCACCGATGGGTAAATCATGTATTACTGAAACATAAATCAAACCTTAAATTTTTTAATATGTAAAATTTTCTTTCAGGAGGTGTTTAAACTTTTACAACTAAGCCTGTTTTTTTTTTTTTTTTTTTTTTTTT